CTGATTTCAATCTGGATGGTACGTTTATCGTTTTGTTTCACGTGCATTTTTCTAAGCTTATCGCTGTCCTACTCAGCTTGGATTCTGCCTGCTTTCACAGTTGCCATGTCCTGACCTGTCCCCTGCGTACTAGTTCCAAATTGGTAGACGGCGGTCGTGCGCGCGTAGGACCTGCCTTAGGCACTGTAACCTGATAAACTGCATTTGTCGCTCAGACGACTCTGGTTCGTTAGGGTCGAGATGACCCAGTGGTGGGTCTCTAAAACCCTAGTGTTCAAATAGCCTGTGAAGAAAACCTTATCGATCTGGAATATGCAGACAACATCGTTCTCATGTTCGAAGAGGAGGAGAAGGCGCAAGTATTCTTGGATGAACTGACCAAAGTCATCCCGTCCTTTGGTATGCATTTTGCACCCACAAAGTGTAAGGTCATGCTTGTAGACGTGCAGTCACTGAACACGCCCCTTACAATCCAGGGAGAGGTACTGGAAGTTGTGGAGCGTTTCACGTACCTTGGAAGTTGTATTAGTTCTGATTGCAGTGTGACAGATGAGGTGAATACACGAATCTGCAAGGCTCGGGCCGCGTTTGCTAACTTTGTGAGACTTGGCCTGTTCGAGCAGCGGACCTGAGACGTCTTCATGTGTTCGACAATCGTTGTCTCAGAACCATAGCTCGTGTGGGTTGGTGTCAGCGAATCCGTAACGAGGCAGTTAGAAAGCGTGTTTTCGGTTGTGTAACGGGTACTTCCATTGAAGAATGTGTCCAGCACCAGAAGCTGCGTTGGTTGGGACATGTGTTGCGTATGCCGAATCATCGCTTGCCGAAGAGAGTGCTGTTTTCCATGCCCAATTCAGAGTGGCTTAAGCAGAAAGGTGACCAACCCTTGACTTGGCAGTGAGGTATGAAGGAGATCACGAAACGCTTGGGTGCTGTCGGTGCTACTCGCCTTCCAGAATGGGGACCGCGTGATCCTCACTGTGCCTGGTTGGAGACACTAAAAGATATGGCTGCCAACCGATGTTAATGTTGTCAGTTTCTATCCAGATTACCTAAGTGAGTGTCTGGAGGTATAGACACCTCGGAATGATTGTGATAAGCTAACACTAGGTCACTTCCCCGTCCACCTTTACTCGTTTTTTTACAATAAGGCTTTCAAATGAATCATGGTTGTACGGCAGTGAAGCATCAGTGTTGAACACTGATATCATGCTGTCGATGATGATGATGGTGATGTGGATGTAGTTGATGACTTTCCAACATGCCGCAGTGAGTAGTGTGAGTAGTGCAGGTAATTTGGTAACTGTTTGAAAGCTCGGGGCCCCGTCGGAACTAGGTAGCAGAGTTTTCGGAGAGCTTCAATGTGTTGTTCTGTCAAGGGACTATGCAATTTCTAGAATATTCGTCACTTTGAATAAACGCGGCATACTGGTGATCGTCGCTTTGATGTAGCAGACCTCATGTTTGGCCGAGAAGACTTTCAGGCTACACTTCCAATTCAACATGGTACTCATTCTTACGGAGGTTGAAGAACTTCGATTGTGAATCAAGATGGTTCACTGGTGAAAACACATCTTGCCTCATCATCCTCGCTACTTACCGAACGCTTCAATGCAATTTCGTTCGATCTGCGGACACCGTTGACGTACTCCATAGTTTCTCATCACGATGTTCCTGGTGCTGAGCACTGTTCCACAATATCCATCAGTCAGCTGTGACCATGTCACATCAACTAACCAATTAAGTTATCGATTTCATTACTCGGTCGCTCCTTTTACGCTCTTGTCTACTTTTTAGTGGGCGAAACTGTAGCAGCTGGAATCGACGTGCTCTCGGCACACAGTTTATGACTGATTAATTGAGCTGGACCGTGGTTCGAACCTGACCTCTGCCTCTCGTCTCTCCCCCCCCCCTATCTAGGCTTAGGCAAGCTGGCAGTAGTATCCCGTCCTTCGTGCAACCTTCGGGTGGCATGGCATTTGGGCACCGATAGGGTGCTACAGCTGAACTATTTTTTTTATTTTTTTTATTCAATTGAACTGGACTGAAGAGACTTTGCGATTATTCGTTCCGCGGTAGTTCCGTTCTGTAACCTGTAAATATATGGTTTTGCTGATTGTTCCATTTTTCACTGTCTAACCTTCCTCTCTCAGCGTTCCTCTACTCTTGTCAACATTTTTGGCGACACGATGTCCCCATCTCATCTCGTCCAGCTAACGGGACATCAGTGATCCTGTCGGGCCTAGGGGATTTGGCTTCCGATCCAATCCTGGCCAAGTACTGGGCTCAGCGCTTCCGTCTGTTCTCTCGTTTCAACGAAGGTATTCAGCTTGATCGTGGTGAGCTTCCCGGCGTCGATTTTTTCTTTTATTTGGAGAGATTCCATCTGGTTTCTTTCGACCAGTGAAATTTTAGCGGTTCATTCAAAGCTACCTGTTCATGATAGGGCCATAGCCCTAAGCGTCTTCGCAACATGTGTGGCTTAATGGTTAGATCCCGAATTTATCGATCGGGAGGTCCGTGGTTCGACTGCTCCTGTCCGGGCTTGGGCAACCTGGCAGTACCTCGGTCCTTGTGCGGGTGGTATGACAGCTAGGCGACGGAAGGGTGTTCCAACTTGACTCACCATGACACCACCGTCTTTTGGATACAAAACTCTGATGCACTTAAAACCGTACAACCTAACATTTCAGCGCCTAGCAGCCAAAATCTATGGATTAGCTCGACTACTTTTGGTTTTAACGCAACATAGTTGCCAATTATCGACTGGCCTATTCAGGACCAAATATGGGTGATTTATTGAAGCGGCCCTCATTTTGAGCATTTGGACAAACCGTGCTCACGACACTTCTGTTCGTGTCAGCGTTCTAGACAAAAAGTGAATTTTAGATATGCCAAAATACGTCAAAACTCATTACATTTCTCTCTTCTTGTTGAGAAACATCACTAGTAGCAATGTTGTGGAATGTAGGTAGCTCGGGTGCGCTGTTTGGTTTTTGGTCTGTTCACCGAGCGTGGCAGTTGGATTGCAAATGTCTCATCACCAATCGAGGTGACATCGTCAGTGAGGGTTGAGTGGGTGCGGCCAGAAGAAGCCCTCGGAAGATGGACTGGACCGGTGCGAAGGAAGTCCTTGCAGCGGAGTTCGACACGCCGGCCGACCGCCAGGAGGCTATGAGGCGTTTCAAGTCCGCCAGGATGGCACCTGGATCTGACCCGACCGTGTTTTTCGCCGGCCTGAAGGAGTCGTTGGATCGTGCTTTGCCGGGACTGGACCGAGTGTCGCGCCCCCATTTGCCGTCCTACCAGTTCATCGGAGGAGTGCAGCCCGCGCTTGGTTCCCAGTTGTCCTGCGCTGTCAATGTCACCTCGATTGGTGACGAAACATTTGCAATCCAACTGCCAAGCTCGGCATCACTAGTGTGAAACTCAAAAGTTTCTTAGGGGCGAAACGACCCCTCAATCTTCAGGTTAGTAGATTAAAAAGTTAGCTACCCAGTCGCACATTTCACACCACGTCGTGTGCCGTTCGCTGGTTTCTCAAGTGACCAACTCTCAGAAAGCCTTGACGACTCGTTGTTGTTGTTGATTGAACTACTCATGTTTGATTAGTAGTTTCTGTTAACCCCGATTTTAAGCCCACTATCGGCTAGCAAACCGACTATTCTGCTGAAAAGACGTTTGGGTGAACACCGTTTTCTGCGTGTACGTCCAGTTTACCTACGCAGAAGTCATGCGTAGGGTCTAGGCGGTATAAGCTTGTAAGCAGTGGATTCACCCACTCGATTCGACCTGGCATGGAAGTTAGGCGCCAGCAAGCGTCTTACTTGAACCAGTTGGTTGCTTTCGAACATTTATTCGCATTAGACGACGCATACCGCCAATGATAACTCGCCTGGTGATTTCGGCATCAGCTGGAAAAAACTGCCTACGTGTGGTAATTGCTGCCACAGTTTTGCTTGCCAATGATTTGGGGAGATAGCAGTGGATTGCCACCTACTGGGTGCAGTAGCTGATGCGTGACTCCTGGAGTGATGGTAAGTTTTTCTTTGGAAAGACTGGCAGAAAGTGCTTTGCGTTGAGGGAAACAACCTGAATGAATGCGCACTATTTAACGCATGACGAGGTCATGTTCGACAACATCTCAGGGTTCTCATCCAGGGAGATGGCAGTGACCCAGCTGAAGCAAGCTGCTGGTAATGGTTCCCATACTTCGCTGTCAAGTCATTGCTCGGTCGCCTCTGGCTTGCTCCCAACATCCACATGGTTATGAGGAAAGGGCGCTCGACTACCATACGTAGCACGTGATCAGGCCAACACAACCTATGGACTGTGGTCAACTCATCTATCATGGGTGAGCTGTTGCTTCCGAAAACCATTCGACGTACTTCACGGTTTGGCACGCGCTTCATACCTTCTGTAAGACTGAGTGGGTTCGAACCCCAACATCGTGCTTGCGGATGAGCNAATGCGCACTATTTAACGCATGACGAGGTCATGTTCGACAACATCTCAGGGTTCTCATCCAGGGAGATGGCAGTGACCAGCGCAGCTGAAGCTGCTGGTAATGGTTCCCATACTTCGCTGTCAAGTCATTGCTCGGTCGCCTCTGGCTTGCTCCCAACATCCACATGGTTATGAGGAAAGGGCGCTCGACTACCATACGTAGCACGTGATCAGGCCAACACAACCTATGGACTGTGGTCAACTCATCTATCATGGGTGAGCTGTTGCTTCCGAAAACCATTCGACGTACTTCACGGTTTGGCACGCGCTTCATACCTTCTGTAAGACTGAGTGGGTTCGAACCCCAACCTCGTGCTTGCGGATGAGCTGATTGAGGTAGTAGACAAACTTGTCTACCTCGGTAGCTTCATCAATCCAGGTGGTGAAAAATAATATTTTCATCCGGATACGGAAGGTCAAAACCGCTTTTGTGAACCTGCGTCACCTGTGGCGTAGGCGTGACATCAGCCTGTCCGCCAAGCGTCGAGTTTACAATGCTGCGCTGCGCTCCATATTACCATACGGATCAGAAACCTGGCCCCTGCGCTCTGTGGATGTCAAAAAACTTTCAGTGTCTGACGATCGATGTCTTCAGTACATTACCCGAGTCTGGTGGGAACACCGGATCAGCAATGCTGAAGTACGTCGGATGGTATTCGGGAGAAATAACTCACCCTCGATAGATGAACTGATCACATTGCATAGGTTGCGCTGGCTTGGCCACGTGATGCGTATGCCAGTCGACCGACTTGCGCGAAGGGCTCTTTTCGCACAGAGGGCCAGAGGCGGTCAAACAATGACTTGGCAGCAAAGTATGAAAGCCATTACCAGCAAACTCAGCTGCGCTGGTCACTGCCGTCTTCCTAGATGGGGACCCCGAGACGGGACACATCAAAGGCTGGAGGCATTATCGGACATGGCCCAGTTGCGCCCTCAGCGGTTCTCATGCATCCAAGATGTTTCCCTCCCTATGTCCCCAACTAAAAGTCCACTGACAACCCGGTATTTACGCATCAATCATATCAGCTACCGTCTTCAGTGTACAGCCACCCACCCATCTCCCCAAACTATCGGTGAAGGAAATTGTGACAGCTACAATCACTACGAAATTCTTACAGCTGATGATGATGTTGACGACTTCGGCACTGTTGATTCTACGTTTTCATCAGGCTCGCACAGTGGTTCGAAGTCACTGATGGCCCTCAAGGCACAGCGGCCATGTTTGTCACCAATACAACCATATGGAACGCACCGCAGCGTTTTAGACTCGACCATTGACAGATAACCTGATGTGACGTCTGCTCCATAGTTGATGAGGGCGAGATGGCTCAAGTGGTTGGAGCGCGAATTTACTGACCGGAAGGTCCGTGATTCGAACCCGACCTCTGCCTGTCGACTTCCCCTGTCTAGGCTTGGGCAACCTTGGGCAGTATCCCAGCCCTCGTGCTTCCTTTGGGTGGCATGGCAGCTAGGCACCAATAGGGTGTTACAGCTGAACGGATAAAGGTTGACAAAAGCTGTTCTCGCCTTTCAAATCCCGGTGGAAATAACGTCCTTGGCTAGACCACCGAGACTAATACAGTTTCGGCTCGTCTATCATTATGAGGCTCGGCCTTCAGCCCACCCGGACTTGCAGCAGCTTGCACAAATTATACATCACGAGCGAAAGCGAGCATTTTGCAGAACAATTTTGGACAAAGCACGGCGAATTTCTAATTCTGACGTTTCACTGTTGCTTACCTTGTATCCTTGAAGTCGTGCTAGGGACGGCTACGTAATTAATCAACGCCATGCACCAGCAATCAATAAAACAAGTATCATCACTACGGTATGTCCAGCTCTCACCATTTTTTGACCATCTGTTATCTGTAGTTTGAGCTCCGGGAGGGCAACACAGTTTGCACCAGTCCACTCTGAATGGTGGGCCGAGAGTGGATGTTTCAGATACCCATCTGAGGGGAAGAATAACCGCTGACCAAGCAGTTTCTTTTAGCATTTCTAACCAGTTGCGTGTCTCGTTCCAGACAGACGTCCGTCGCCAACTTGACTAGATTTGTTGGTCAAAACCTTCACGTTTAGCCTCTACTCTCGTTTGCTTACGAATTCGGTTTTGACGGGAGGCTCAGCTGAATCCAACCGATTCTCTCTTCTCTATAGTGGTCTTCTCCAACTGAATATGGCGCACTAGACTGCCTCATATTCGAGATATCGCAATACGTCGTCACCTAGACGTAACACACTACTCACGGGGTCGCTGAAAACTCTTTGATAGCCCACTACCGGCTTCTCCCTCCTTGATAATTGATTCTATTCTCTACTTTTCGTTTACTAATCCTTCGTTCCAGTTTATCTTGATGTCATCAGCTGTACGTTGTTCTTTTTTCTGCTCACAGATGGATTCTTCAGTGCCACGCCCGAAGTTATTGCCGCTCATCAGGCGCGGCGAGTCTATCGAGCTCTGGTCAATGACCCGTCAGCTGTTCATCGGTTTACGGTGATTGATGCGTGCTCAGGTGCTGGAGTCAATTCCATTCAACTGGCTTTGCTCGGATTCCATGGTAATTTGATCAGTTTCTCGTCAATCTGTTTTGCCCCTTCCGTGTACACAATGAACCTTGCCTTTCGGTTGCGTTACCGCGCAGTTCACATTTGAATCCAGCTGCCTCTGTTTAGCATGCCTTCATCCAACACCGCCTACCTGACTATCTGATGAAATTGCTTGCTTGGTTTACTCTCAAGGGACAGTTTAATTTGCTAGCCAAATTTTGTTAGTAGTATAACGTTGCAGCGCTATTCTCCCCGATCTCTTCTCTCGTTTTTAGTGATTGCCATCGAAATCGATCCAGCACGAATTGCCATGTCCGTGCACAATGCTCAAATTTACGGAGTCCAATCCCGAATCGAATTTGTTTGCGCCGACTTCTTCACGTGGGCTCGTGACCAGCTCAGCGAGAGGAACAAGACACATGGCACGCTCCCTTACGGTGCGGTGATTCTTTCCCCTCCTTGGGGTGGTCCAACCTATTTGGATCAGTCCGTGTTCGATTTGGACTCGATTCGTTTCGGATCCAGTCCATCTTACGACTTTTGGCTCGCCACTGATCTCGCCAGCCAACTTTCCCTAGGCAACCTGGTCATCTTCCTCCCCCGTAACACCAATGTGGCTCAGCTGTCCGCTCTCAGTGCGCCTATTCGTTCAGCCCGATTGCGGTCATCGGGTAGACACTTGACGACACAGTGTCCCGATGAAATAGAACTGGAGATTGAGGTGAATTTGATCAATTCGAAAATCAAAGCGTTGACCGTCTATTCTGGGGATTTGTGCACTGGCCGTAAACGTCGATCCACTCATGTATCCGACAGACCAAATTGGTCCCCGGGCGAGGTTGCATTTGGTCATGATGAGAATGACAACGGCCATTTTTATGTGGATTCAGACCTTTCTTCCAGTTGCTCGAGTTCTTCAGGTTCCTACCTCAGTGCATCCGAAAATTTCTGAACACTCGTTTGTATCAGGTGATATCCTTGTATCCTCCACTTTTGTACAGATCAGAGACGTTTGCTCATATTTTACACCTGGATTCTTCCACATCAAATGCTGCATTTATTTTTACCTGGTATTTTTTCTCTGCCGGAAAAATGCAAAAGAATGTATAGTTTCCTCTGTTTTATTCTCGAACGGAGAAGTTCTTTTCGGGGTCTTGATAAAGTGCCGTAAGGTTTCGGATACTTTGTGAGGATGAATGAACAAGCTGTCTGAACAAGTTGGCAGCTGAGTTGTCCCTAAATCAGACTCACCACAAGACCTCGGGCTTTACACGAGAAATAATGAGGAAGTCGCAGATCTGATTGGTTGCGTTGGGTGATTTCAGCAGTTACAATTTGTGCCACTTTTAGCGGTAGATCCAAGTGAATCCCAGTTCACGGAGAAGATCGGTTCACGTCCTTTATCAACCACGGAAATCGCGACTGCACTGCGTACATTAACAAAGCGCGATCAACGTTTGTCCACCTACGTCATCTATGTCGCTGCAAACGAATTTCACGGAAGTTGAAAACAACCGGTTGCGAAAGTAGGCCCCCCACACAATCCAGAATAGGACAGCTTATGATACAGAGTTACGTCAAAATAATTGGGAAGTAATCGTTTGGCTGAAACATCTTTTTGGCACATAGCTGCCATGCCACCCGAAGGAAGCACGAGTGCCAGGTTGCCCAAACAGAGGTCGAGATGCTGAGGTTGGGTTTGAACCACGGATCTTCCGGTCAGCTGGTCTACGTTTTAACCGCTGAGCTGCCACATCAAAACCTGACAGTCGAGGAAAAACTGGATAACCCCTCCACCCTCGAAAACAACAGCAGACAGATATAACATCGCCAAGATTCTAGTTGTACTGACCTAGAGCGATTAGGTCTTTGAACGTCTCAACAGTGCGCCGTAACAAACACTCAGTCGAATGCTGTGCTGACTAAAGCACGTTCTTATATCAACACTCGAAGAGAAACTCGGTCTTTCGTTTTCTAAGAAGTTTGGTGACGATCGATAGATTTATTGCTGGGCAACGTTTCGCTTTTGACACAAAAGCTTCGTCAGGCCAAGTGACTAGGTTCCGAGGTTGGTGGAGACTTAAGGCGGAAGGCGAACCAATCAGCTAAGTCAAGCTAAATCTCTGTTGGGTGTCGGCCGAGGAATTTTAGCGTGTTAGAGTGGTTGAACAAGTGTTGGGTTGGTGGGGAAACCTACATGTGTTTGGGTCCAGCCTATGGTCTAGTTCTTCTGGTTCGGTTCATTTGATGTTTCCTCTTTAACCTGGCCTGACGAAGCTTTTGTGTCAAAAGCGAGACGTTGCCCAGCAATAAATCTACCGATTGTCATCAAACTTTTTCGAAAACGATGACTACCCAATCGGTTCAAAGTATTTTTAAAAAAAAACTCGCTCTGTTTGGCCGGTTCTTAGAACGTACCAACTATCGTCAAACAAAGGACCGCGGTCCAACTTGTCCTTGAGTAGACTTAACTAACCGCAAACTTTGTGAGCCCGAGCATTCAGCTGCTGCAGAATGATGTTTCAAATCTTGGTTGGTATTGCTAACAATTTCATTACGAAACCGTATTCGTCTTCTAAGATCTTAAAAGTGACGTTTCTCTAGGCTTCTGCACAGCTACTGAAATGTAGTCGCGAATCGAACTCCGTCTCGGTCCGACCCTGTTTACATTCAAACAAATCCAGTAGCCGTGGTCTCGCCAAACAGCATGTGGCGGTTTTTTATCGGACACCTGTTGAGTATGCAGTATCGTGTAGATGACTCTGGTGATCAAGCAAACAGAATTGTCACATTTCCTGAACTCAATCGTACAAGCTTCACTTGGAATGTCTTGTTGAAGACAACGAATCTGCAACGGTATCTGAGACGATATCTGGATTGCATTCTGCGCCATCTTGGGAACATATTGAGCCATGCTCCACTAACTGTGATCAACAATATACTCTGATGTAACAGCTTTCCACAGACAAGACGGGTTGCGGCAAACGGAACCGTTTGTCAGCTGTTCAGACTTCCTGTGTTACAAAACGCTTGTAGAATCCGGGACGGTTTGCAGATCCTTCACCTCCAAATTCACGCGTCCCGGTGTCGATAACACTGACGCGCAGTAAATTCTCGTATTGAATGGATTAGTCAGTGACGGTACAGGAGCAAAACGTCTCCGTCGACTGGGGTACACCGTCTTCGAGGAGTTGAGAGCCCCTACTTCTACGTCGTTCATCAAACCTGACCTAATCGCTGTCCGAGATCACCGTGCAACTGTAATAGACGTCAGCATAGTCTCGGATGGGCGTGGAGTGATAGTGTGGAATGAGAAGAAGCAGAAGTATGGTGCTGATGAACATTCCCTCGCCATAATCTCAGCCCTACATGCCATCGGTTGTGATATCGACTTTTTGGTTCACCAACCGATGATCATCTCTTATCGAGGGATCTGCTTTCCTCAATCCGCTAAGGCTGTTATTGGACTGGGACTTCCTAAGGTCGCAGTCAGTGACTTGTGTTTGCTTGCCATTGTGGGCTCCCTGCGTACTTATGACACTTTTATGCGTGGCACATGGCGTTGAAGGTACATTTTTGCCATTTAATCTCACACCAGACCCAGTATGACGGTCACTTTGTGCCTGATGTGCGAGTCTTGACTGTGCTAGCGCACACTGCGCCTTGAAGAGCATTCACCATTGTTTGTCCTTTCTTTGGTTGTTGGTCCTTAGACGCGTGTTCCCATACCAAAATCTTTACATACTTTGGGATTCACCTCATCAGACTGGCACTGTCCTTGGCATGATTTCGAATGAGACGTTTCTCTCTTTTCTCCCATATTCTCCTGTTACTCTTTCGCATTCATCGCTTGCATTCACTTTTTATGTTTGTGACCATGCTCTTCAAAAATAAATGATAAAATTGATGAGTGAGAACAAAGTGATTAACTACTCATCAGGGGGCAGCCTGGGAGAGTACAGGGCACCAAATGATTGAGAGTTTAGCGAAGTATAGTCATTTGCAAACAAAGTTGGTTTTTGCGAGAAACCCACGTGGAACCCAGCTGAATCTCTCGTTTATGCTGTTTCTAAACAGCTGAATGTACTGCACCAAACCGCCTCAGGTTTCAGTGGCTACGATATTCGAGATATCACAAAATATGTATAGACATAATGCACTACTCATAAGGTTGCTGAAAATTCCTCGACAGCCGACAACCAGTTTCGCCCTTTCTGGGGCTCATCAGATAGGCGCAGTCCACGAGTTAGAAACAATAATCGAAAGATTCAACTGGGTTCCGGGCGAGTCTCTCGAAAAACCAAATTTGTTTGCAAATGAGTGTATTTCGCTGATTTCGTGTAACCTGGTCTCAAGTAGAACATAAGGTTGACGGAAACTCGGGGACCGCGCGCCTACCTGATGAGCCCCAAGAAGGGCGAAACCGGTCTTGGGCTGTCGACGAATTTTCAGCAACCTTATGAATGGTGTAATACGACTAAAAGTTGAATTTCACAATAAAAGAAGCCCACGTTAACATCATCCGGATGCATGCGCGTGTGTCGGTAACACGGTAGTTTAAACTGGGCGGAAAATTCTCACGGAGAATTATTAGACTGTTGTTAGACCAAGAACCAGATAAAGTATTAAAGAACAGCCACCTATCTGCAGTGGTGTGGTAGGCCTGACGCGCTGAGACTCCCAGTGGCCTGGAACGTCGTGGTGTTAACTTTGATCCTCGGTTGCGGCTCTTGTACCGAACTGCCCACTGACTATCGAAATCAAGAAACGTCCCGAGTCCAGTACACGTGGTCCAGGTATCTCGATTCTCTTTAACATGGTTTCCATGGTTACTAACCTTACAAAAGGTCTCCATCTCTGCGTTCGCCTCTCCCCCATGGTCCACCTAGATTAGTAGTGCGTAAAGCAAAACAGACTCAGCACAGATGGTAAATTTTCCACTTATTTGATTCAGTGCATTGTCATTGCTTTCTCAGCATCAAAGAAGCTCCAACGAGGCGGATTTAGACACACTGCCCGAGGGGGTGTTGAAGCGTTTTACAGGTCCATATGAAGAAATGCTAAGGAGCGAAAAAATTCATTGCAACTAGATGTGTGCCTATGTGCAATCGAAGTTGCACTTGTACGCATAGCAAATAGGTCACGTGATTCGCTGAATCGATCGATTAATTATGGATCACAACTAGGCAATCATATACAGCCGATGGACGTGGAACAAATAAACAACTGGCTAGGCGCGTGGCATCCGACGATAGCTCAGTTGGTAGAGCGGAGGACTGTAGACGCTTGCAGCAATCCTTAGGTCGGTGGTTCGAATCCGCCTCGTCGGAGTGGTTTTGCCCAGGTAGCTGTGAGGTGTGGGAAAGCTAACTCACAACTGAGTAATGCTTAGGGGTTCGTGTACAAAACTCGCCGGAAAACTCATCAAGAGTAACAAAACGGAAGCGCTACAAACTAGGTTAAGTTACCCCCTTGGCGCAAATTCTAAAGACCCATGAAAAAGAACTGGTTGAGGGACAGTACAAAAAAATGGAGCCTTTTCCGGGTGTACGACATTTTGAATTCCAATAGGCTGGCATAAAAACACTGCACGCTGAGTAAACGATCGTACTGACTGTCCAGGTGATACGTAACACTCAAGCGCCTTGCTTGAGAATGTCATCAACCACATGCTAGACTCACGCGTAGGTGAAAAGAGAGTTTCGAGCCATTTGAAAGCTAATTTCGCCAACTTATTTGCACTCTTGACCGAAGGCAATCAAGTTGATTTCAACGAAATACTTGATGAGTATCGGAATGAAAAGTACTCAACAGAGAGGACAAAATCAAGAATTTGGCTGTGTGTATCTGCGACCAGCCAGCAGCCAGGTGAGACCCATCCAGTAGTTGAAACTGCGATCGATTGGCGGAACTGTTCTCGTTCAATCAAGACCAAATTTGTTTGGTCTTGCTATAAACGGCAAAATATTTATACATATTTTTCCTGAATTAGGACGAAATATTGTGCCGCTTCACTTTCGAGTTTCCACTGGAAAAGATGCTTCGACTCGAGAGGTTTTGATGCCCTTGAAACTTTGTCCACTTGAACAAAGCATTGTAAACAAGCAGTCGTTGGAATACCAACTAGCCGATTAAATGAATCGTTCGGCTGTAGCACCCTTTCGATGCCTAGTTGCCATGCCACCCAAAGGAGGCACGAAAGTTGAGATAGTACCAAGCCGTAAAAGACATGGGAAGTCGAAATGTAGAGGTCAGGTTCGAAACACCGGTCATTAAGTTCGCGCTCTGGGCATCAAGAATTGGGACAAGACTTTACGCTAACGAAGCCCTCGATGTCAAGTTTCATATGATATACAAACGTACGGACACGGGTGTAACGGTGGATACTACTGATGAGGCATGCAAGTAGTATGTGGGTTTCTCATAAATCCGCTTCGGGTCTATTGAAAAGTGAGATTTATTAGGGAATTTGTGGAATCGCTTTGTAACACTCGTTTACATTTGAGTGATGGTCAACGAGTATCCAGGATAGTTCAGGAAGACGCGTTCCAAAAGACAGATACTCAGTTTTTGTAAACAATATGCATATGAGAGTTTTGCTTCCCCGTCCAATAGTCTGGAACAACTCCGCAGCAGAGGCCTTCTTCCTTTCACGGGTAGTCAGACGGTGTAGATAAGCAATGTAGAGGGATAACGGTGTGGGGAGCAGTCTCCACGTTGAGGAAGTGATCCCGAATCAAAAAGGAGGGCAAATTAACTGGAATAGAAAGCTTCCATTCGGTCCCCCACTTGATCCTTTTACCCTCGGGGGAGGTACTTGAAAGTAAGCACACCGGACAAGAAATTTCATGCGAAACGTAAACACGGCAAAATCTCGTAACTGACTAACCCTTCAGCGGGCAACATCGAAAGAACTTTGTTACGAGACAACCATGCTACTCATGAGTAGACAAAACAAGAAAAAATGAGTGGTGAGTACTGCCGATTCACAGGAGTCAGTATAGTTTAACTGCTGCGTTTTCTAATAATCGCTCGGTTAAATTTGTGCTCAACTAGGGTTATTCATATACAACCTGTCCCAGTCGGTTGAAACGACGGTTACTTTATCTTCTGTGGATGGTCGAGGCCTATCAACATCGGCTGACTTCAGCTTCAACCAACACAGATGCGACTGCCATACCTTCAATTTTAAACGAATGTCCATTGGGATTCCGGATTATTTTGACTCCAACGGAGGTCACCCATGGTGATCAAAACGTCAGTGGGTTGTGAACATTGTTTTCCACCTGTAATAAACCCAAATAAACATCACAGAATGTGCAATCTCTCGTTCGTGCCAAATACGACGCGGATAAATTTCCACATCACATGGTTGCTGAAAACTCTTGAACAACCCAAGACCGGTTTTGCCCTTCTCGGGGCTCATCAAGTGGGTGCACAGTCCCCGAGTTCCCGTCAACCCTTATCTTCTACTTGAACCCAAATTGCACGAAATTAGCGAAATGCACCCATTTGCAAACAATCCGTCTTTCAAGCACCGAGGTGACGTGGTGGAGCTACCTCTTGGAGAACTGATCAATGAGGGACTCCTGGAGCGGGAATAATCCATCGGTAGGGCGACCGATTCCAGTCCGGAGCATTGAAGATAACAGAAGAACATCATAATGACAGACTCCACTCAAAACGTAAATAGCAGCTCACCCGTCAAACTATTGCGAACGAAGCCATGACCAAGAGAGTATAGAATATAAAGTTGTGTCCCGGCAACGTTAAGATGACTAGGTAGAGAAAAAAATTTAAAAAAAAAACAGATTAATTACTATTTATGAATTATCTACTACTTGAGCGGTGCCGTTGATTGCTCCACTTATGTCAGGACGCGCCCAGACAAGAAAAAAAAGCAGATGTGCAGAGAGTGACGCATTTCCAAGGTCACCATCGGTACGACACGTCCGGAAAGTAGGTGAGTTGGTGGAGCTCACCAAACACGGCTTAGCAACATACGACCAGCGTAGTGGGCCTGAAATTGTTCACGAACGGAACACCGCGATTGGCTGTACGAAGCGAACAAGTGAACGACCATATTTGACCATTTAGTCATCCTATATATTTACGCAGGCGCTTTGTATGTTTTGACCTGACAACACAGCCGTGTCCCCAGTTCTCTGTCTTCTCCTTATCGCGCAGTCTGGCAGGCTCAGTACAGGCGTAACCAATAGGCAGCCACCCACGATACAACAACTTGCAATGCTAGATGCATCGTGCTTTTGTTGAAGTGCCGTCTAGTCCAAGTAAAACCCGTCTCCTGAACAGGTCATTGCGAATTTTCTGGTCTCTACCATGTGACACCACACCGCAACCTGGGTCCTTTGATACCCAGTGAGACGCCCTTTTGATGCCACAAGTGGCGGTAAACGAGTTTCTCGCCTACAAGATATGTGCACTGACTTCAGCCGTCACTCTAACTTTAGAGATAATGCCGCTCCCGTGACAGATATGGTATGTTCACAACTTTTAGGGTCGCTTCTCGAATTCTCGGAGGCCTGTTTAGACACTGTGGGTCCCATATTACGTTGCACTTTGGAGCGCCAGGCGTATACCACACGACTGGACGACCTTGCTCAGTGTTTGCGCGTACTGATGCACTTTTTCTCTCACCAATGGCGAAATTAAACGGATATTCTTGTCGAACATCACTGCTTATTGTCGTCGCGATCCAGAACAGATTCGACCAGCGCATCCTCACCTGACCTGTAAGAAGATATCTGATCAGTGAAAATCTGATCTTAACACAGACAAACTGGAGCGGGACTTTGTTACGAACCGTCGGGCAGTCAGGCAGCAACATACTGTGGCAGTCCTGGCCACGATCGAAGTAACCGGTGACCGGTAAGCGGAAGGAAAAACCCAGAACAGTCAAGTGGAAAATTTTCTCGCGAACTTCGACGGTAACGAATACAGGAGCTGTCACACACACACACACAAGATATTGGGATGTAGGGATATACAATCGACTGTGGAACGTTCGAGATTGAACGAATCCAGAGGCAAGGTTATCACACACAAACACACACGAAAAAAGCTCATCTGTGAGGAAAAGAAATGAGGGGGAGATAAATGATAAAAAAGAAACAAAGAAAGGCTTCCAAATGATCACAATCGCCTGCAAAAAGGGCCAAATTACAAAATGAGATGTGTGTGTGTGTGTGTGTGGTTATGACGTGGTAGAACAGGGGTGAACCACCACAATGTTCAGCGCAATTCATAATGCAAGTGAGTGTCAGCATAAATGCATTAGATTGGTGCTGAGTTACCATCATTATCCATTACCGTGTTGAAGGCATGTGTGTGTGTGTGTGTGTGTGGAACGCACTGACGCAACAGCAGCAACCCTATGAGGCTTCTCTTGTTGCCGATAGCGACGGAGCTGGTGGCAAGCCAGCATCCTTTCTGCTACCAGTGTCGAAGACATGTATGCTGACGCCCATCGGAGAGAACCGAATAGTCTGGACATTGCTTATATTTGGCATGGTAAAACTTCCCGGTGTTTGAGACTCTGTCGAGGGAAGTTGGAAATCCGGGTGAAGCAACCCAATCAATCCGCACAGCCAAAATCGACCGGGCCGAAAAAAGCATACTGCACAGATATTCGAGTCCTCGGGATGGTTCACTGAGGAGTTGGAGGCTAGTGAGAGCTGGAAAGAAAAAAAGACCGCTAAACATGGGGACTCAGCTGAGTCGCTTGTTTATGGTAGCTGCACAACATTATGAGTAGTATGTTACGTCTACCGAATACTGAACTACGGCGCTTTATACTACATCTTTCGGTCACCTAAGAGCCAGGCGACACACGACGAAACCAGTCTGAACCGACTGCGTCACAGAAACCATCCGGTTGGCTCGGAACAAGGTTACCAGACAGGCTGCGGGATCACACACACACACACACTGTTTAAGATAAGAACAGTAAGTTGGAAGGGCAATGAGCATCACTCAGAAGGACCCGTTCTACCTTTATTCGGTAGACGTGCTAATAAATGGTTAATTTCAACTAGGTCCCCAAAGCTGGGTGAAGTCAGCGTCGGTATAAAGGTGGATACTACTGATGAGACATGTGAGTAGTATGTGGTTTCTCGTAACTCCGCGTTGATCCAATGGAAAGTGGGAATTATTACGGAATTTGTGGAATTGCTTTGTAGCATTCGTTTATATTTGCTTGATAGTCCATTATTATTCAAGAAAGTTCAAGAAGACGCGTTCAAGAAGAAGGATATTCAGTTTTTTGTAAATAGGTACTTTGCTTTCCTGTCCGATGTTCTGTAACTATTCATTTGGTGTTTTCTAATAAACAACTCCAAAACGAAGGGTTTCTTCCTTTCACCGGTGGTCGCATGGAAGACTTGGGTGTCAGCATCCGAAATTTAGGACCATATGGTCACATGATTGTCCCACAAAATCAGATAACAGCTATGAGATGCGGAGAAATTTCACCAAATCTAGAGCGAGAGAAGGTCCAGTACCTCATGTATGACGACAGGTTAGGTAAGTATGAGCGAGTATGTGATCCATTCTGGTCTGAAACCAATCAATAAGCATTCAACTGTAATGCACTTTCACTGCATAGCTGCCCGAAGGAAGCACAAGAGTTGACATACTGTCAGTTTGCCAAAGCCTAGACAAGAGATGGTGAAGCTGGGTTCGAACCACGGATCTTCCGGGCTCTAATCCATGAACTACTTCAAGCACAAATAAGGTGTCAGTGCAAGAATCTCAAAGGCTCGAATTACGTTTGCTAGTTTGTGTCATTCATGGTATCAAAAGCATCTCACTTGACCTTAAGAGTCGTGCGTGCCAGACTACATTAAGGGCCGTGCTGATGTAGGGGTGCGAGACATGACCTCTGCGGGTAGATGACGTGAGGCGTCTTCAGGTTTTCGACCACCGATGCCTCAGAAGCGTGGCTGGTTTCGGATGGCGTCAGCGTGTTAGTGATTAGAAAATGGGTATTTGGTTGTGCTGCAGGCAGTTCAATCCGAGAAAACATCCAGCATCATCGACTACGATGGCCGAAACACCGTCTACCGAGACGAGTGTTGCTCTCCGTGCCTCCTTCAGGATGGCGCAAACCGCGAGGTGAACAGCACAGGACTTAGCAGAAAGGCAAAGAGTTTGGGTGTTGTACTCCCTAAAGGATGAGGTCCCCATGACCCCGTCTGTGCTTGGCTGGAGACGTTGCAAGAAATGGCGGCTAATCGATGTCAGTGGTGTTCGTGCGTCCGGTTTCTTTCCAGATTGTCTGATTGACACTGACGTTGCTGCCTTTGATGATGATGATAAAATAACGGGGAAAAACAACTCACCCCCATTTTACCGGACGCGGTGCCAATAAAACAGAAATCCTTTCCCTCGATTAGTGGTTCACTGAGTTGTGAAGTGGGCGCGGACTCTGCGGATTTTTGCTGAACGATCTCATAAATCACGGGACCAGTCCATACGCGATGAATCCTAACTGGGCAAGTCATGGGGGTATTCTGAGCGGGCGAGCGATTGGTACCTGCAGTAAATGATGTATACACACACGTATAAGCAGAACCTCACGGTATGGATCAAAGTCACACAAACATCGAGTTGGGTCTGTAAGTTATTCAACGATAAACTGCACACTCAGGTTTCAGTCACGGCAGTTTCGTTTGCCGAACACAAGCAGGCGATGACACAGTCGGTTCACTCAAGTTCCGTTTGTGTAATAAAGTAGGACCGATATTGGTTGGGAGACAGGACCACATCTGGTTTTTCCTACCCCCGGGCTCCTTATCCGGGGAGAAGATGTTTGCCATGCTTCGCCGCCACGTTGTAGAGTGATCCCCAGGGTTGTCTCCTCAGCCAAAGGCGAAGAGGCCTCTGGGAGGCAAACCATTCCCTAGACAAGAGCAATCGAGATTCCGGGGTCGGGTTCGAACCACGGAACATCCGCGCTAAGATATCTTCAGTGATTGTGTACAACCAGAAAGGGAACCACTGACGAAAACCAAAAAAACCTATTCCGTATTTCGACAGACATCTCGACGATGTGCGGCAGTGACACTGTCGTATAACTTTCCAGGCTTCCTGGGACAGTCGATAAATGTGTCCCCCAAAACAGATAAGGGTGACCACTCAGCTAATCGCAACAGCCAGTCTACGGAGAGTGTTCACCTGAAGTCGTGGGTACGAACCACAGACCTGACGGTCAGTATGTTCACGCCTCAACTATCCCGAAACACCGAGAGTGCGTCCCGTCCCACGGCAATCAAACTGAACTGAACTGAAAAGTCGGTGTGAACTCCTGATGTTTGTGTATGTGTGTGTGTGTGTGTGCGTGCGTGCGATACCATTGCCACACCAGTTACCCATAAATGCATTCACATTAGGGAAGACAGTTTATCTATCGTATGGGAAATTGCGTGAAAAATATGGAAAAGAAAAGAACTTACATCCCTCATCTAGCCGCAAATTGGCCAGTGGATGGTGAGATACTGACCCTGAGATTACAATCGACACCGGTTCCAGAGGGTGCGCGCAAACATGCGAGCTGAAACTCAACAAATCGGATTTGAGGCCACGCAGTAATTTCGGATTCTGTCGTTCCGGCATGGACATGCGTCGAGTTTCGGCATACTGATGTATATCATCTTCGGTCTCGGGTATACGGGTCATGTGACCGGCTCTCGAGGACTTGCGGTCAAGAGCGTACTCTTCGATTGGCTGCGAACCACGCCGACTAAAGATGGATGTGCGTCTTCTCGGAGCGATCGAACAGGATCCACAAACCCCCAAGCGACGACCATCGGCTGGGGGAAGCAGAGCAACACCTAAAATGGAAGGGAATGCCAAGGTCACATTATCAACGACCAATCAGAACGCAGGATAACCAACCAACCAACGTACCGCCCGACCGAACAACCGATCGTGACCAGAAGTCAGTCCCGGCTGACAGCGTGCGTATTAACACACTCAGAGCACAACCCAACGCTACGCTCCCCAATAACGCACTGATGATGTCACCTCGACAAAACGTTTAGTCAAATTGCCCAGCTCAGCGAACAGACCAACGGTCAACTACGCTACCTGAGCTACCAAAATTTTCCGTAAGAGTCCAGTCTCCTATTGTTGTGATTTACCTGAACCCTTGTTGGTTTTCGCGGAGCTGTATCAGACGAACCAGTGGAGCCGATATAAATAAGAAGAAATAAGAATGGCGGGGAAAATCACAGTGGTTCGTGAACAACCGCCAGCCGGCCCAAGCGCGATGAGGTCCAAGTGAGCAATGCAGTGTTAGTGTCATTTGTAAGTGAGAAAGACTTCGCCCCCCTCCCAGCGAAATACCATGAAGTCATACCTGCCGAGGACTGCTCGAGGCGAATCAGACGGTACGGGTGCACTACAGGCATAATTTCGTTGTCAGAAATAGCACCAAGCAGCTTTCGACTTACACATGGAAACTGCGACCGTATATTACATCAATACACAAGGTATGTAGTTATATAAGAATAGACTGAGTTGTGAAACGCGTCATCAGGGCATTACCAAGACAGTCGGAACCTTTGTGCGCGACAACCACGGTTGGTGCTCCCCTGACACAGAATGCTCAGTGCTGTCAGTGATGACGAAGCATCAGTCAACTTTTCAGATCACAAATTGTGCACCGAAGTGCCGTGGTTCCAGCTGCTACAGCTTTGTTCACCGAGGGTAGGAAGAATAGGAGAAGGAGAGCCCGGGCTGTGCATTGATGAGAAGTGGATCTGGTTGTCCAGCAAGGCAGGAAGCATTGATTCAAGACACGGCCACTAACACGCGGTCCCAACCCGGTAAGTCGGCATGTACCAAGGCGACCACGCTGACTGATAAGGTCTTTTATACTTCATTGTCATCTCGTGAAATGACCGCTTCTGGGTGGTGTCTAATCGATGCAAAACTACGGAAAGAGAACTATACGAGGCAAGCGGTCCTCTGGGAGAGATGGCCCAAGTGGTTAGAGCGCGATCTACTGACCGGAAGGTCTGTGGTTCGAACCCGACTTCCGACACTCGACTTCCCCGTCTGGGCTTGGGCAACCTGGTAGTATCTCAGCCCTCGTGCGACCTTCGGGTGGCATGGCAGGTAGGCACCGAAAGGGTGCTACAGCTGAACGAATTCCGAATTCCTGGGGTACGAATCACACGACCTAAGAAGCGTAACCTGTAACTGGAGTGTGACCAGCTGATCCATCGAGCGAGGATGAACTGCGGACACGTCTCGGATCCACGAAGTAGTACAGACCACACTACGCTTGACAGTCAAGCTGATGTCACGCCGGGACTGCCCAGGTAAACAAACGTACCTACCACTGAATCGATCTATTCGATTTCACCCAATCTTGCGGTAGCACTTTACAGATGCCAAGTGCATACCAGAGTGTGTTGCAGAATTATTTAGTTTATGACAGATAGTTTGTATCATGAATAAGGCAACACACAAAACGCATGCTTGGCCTTCAGGCTGCATTCACAATGAAAAAAATCGTACAGCTGTAACATCCTTCCGGTGCCTAGCTGCCGAACCACAAGAAGGAAGCACGGGGGTTGGGATACTGTCAGATTGCCCAAGACTAGACAGGAGTAATTCAGATGCCTGGGTTGAGTTCGAACAACGCACCTTCCGGTCATTAATACCACGCCTTTACCACTCATCACCATCATCAGCAGCAGCAGATGATAGCAGTGTTCAACACCGACGCTTCACTGCCGTAAAACCATGATTGATTTGAAAGCCTTATTGTAAAGAAAAGAATAAAGGTGGATGGGGGAGAGGGTTTAATGCCAGCTTACCAGATCATTCCGAGCTGCCTACACATCCAGACATTCACCTAGGCGATCTGGATAGAAACTGACAACAAGAACGTCACTGTCATCGGTTGACATCCATGTCTTGTAGTCTCTCCAACCAGGCACAGTGAGGATCACGCGGTCCCCATCCTGGAAGGCGGGTAGCATCGACAGCATCAAAGCGTTTCGCGATCTCATTCATACTCCTCTGCCAAGTCAAGTGTTGGCCACGTCTCTGTTTACGCCACTCTTACTTGGGAAGGGAAAACAGCAATATCTCCGGCAGAAGATGGCTAGGCATACGCAACACATGTCCCAACCAACGCAGCTTCTGGTGCTGGACACACTCTTCAATGGAAGTACCCGTTGCACAACCGAAAACGTGCTTTCTAACTGCC